CTTTCATAACTTGACAATGAAGATTATAAACCAGTGATTTTGTAGGATGTCCCTTAATTTGGGTTTGTCTGGTGTTTCCTCATGAAGATATTCAGGTTACACATTTTTGGCAGGAATATCACAGAAGTGATGCTATGTTCTTTTTAGTGCATTTTCTATCAGGGCAGACATGATTTCAATTTGTACCTTAGTTGTGATGTTAACTTTCATCACTTGGTTCATGTGGTATCTGCCAGGCTTTTCCATTGTAAAGTCACTCATTTTTCCACTGTAATTAAGTACTACTTTGTGAGTTTTCTCTTCAGTTATTGAAATTCTATTCAAAGAAACAGTTCAAATACCACCTCCTTCAAACTTTCTAGATCCTCAGTTTCTTATTTTCTTATCCTGCTATAGCCTTCTGCACCTTTATCGGTATTTAATTCTATCTTGAATACTATTAATAGTTAACTATACTAATTACCCTCACCAACAACCCTACAGTTTATAAGCAATAAACAACGGACTAGAGCATGGCTTAAGTACCAAGGAGTTGGAAGACCTAGACTCAAATCCTAACTTTGTCACTAACCACTACGTAACTTCAGGTAAGTTATTTCACCTCTCCAAACCTGCTCCCTTAACTGGAAAATGGAGGGAATCATCTTCACTGCATAAAAGGTTATGAGGATTAAATAAAATACTCTTTTTAAAAAATAAACTAGACATTTATTTTCATTTATAATATGAAGTGCTTTAAGAAAAGTTTACTCTTTTCAGTGTTTGAAATTAAACAGGAATTATTTTCCATACCTAGCAATTATAATGGTAATATGAAGTAAAAATTTAATTCTGCTGAACTAAAGCTCAAATAGAGTCAAATAAAAAATATGTATGAAAATACCTACATTTTTAAAAAGTTTGAAATTTTTGTTATTTTGTAATGATAGGTTTACTTTTCCTAACATTTAAAAAAAATCCAGCCTTCTACAATCAATATAAAACTATTCAAATAATCACAACAGAATCTTTTATATCAGAAAAACAAATTCACATGATATCCTCCTAACACGAATTACCATCCAGAAAGGGGCAGTTTCCCTGAAACAGAGAGAATTTCTTTCTTTTTGTCACCTCTATTCCTTATATATAATCTTTATTTCACATCATTTACATGAATATATTATCACAATCTGATACGTAGATAAGAAAAACATTTTTTTTTTTTTGCCTTCTAGAGCTCATCAAGTAAATGTATTGTCTTCTTAGTATGTTTCTTTTTAACCTTATCTGAGTGTCATCTGCAGGTTTGGAGGCCAATGACCGAGTGCCATTAGAAGGCTATTTGGCTTTACTTTTCTTTTCACACAATGAAAACTGCTGCGGCTAGCCAAACAGCATCCAACCCAACGTATCCTCAAAAGGAGCAAAAGTCATAGTAGAAGTCTGTGTAATCATCATGGTTGCCTTTGTGGCCACAATAAAGACGATACAAAAGGAACGTAAGATTATGCTTTGATATTGCCAGATGACTGGTGTGCTGGAATGGGGAGATAACTGACTCCAGCAGGGTTACCTTGGAAGGGCAGGACATCTTCAGTCCTTCATGACCTTCTGGTTTCCAATCTCCTTTTATCAACCTCTCAAAATTTGTGATAATGGTACCAGCTGTACCTCAGGCCCATTTAATAGCTATCGCGACTATCAAGCCATTTTTGTAACAGTTATCAGCACGTGTGACTCCATCTACTATTTTCCAGGTTCTGGTCACTTCGTTGCAGCCAGGAGCTGAACAGGTAGGAATAACTAGCGCTGGGAAACTAGGTGGCATGGGCAAAAAAATATAATATACCTGATTGAAGATGCCCATAATATATGAGTGTTGTTTGAAGAAACCTCAATGGAGGCTCTGCAAGCAGTACACAGCATATAATTCCTCCACCAAAGCAGTGGAGCATAGCTGTAAACCAGCTTGAAAAATGATTCTTCCATGCCACTGCTGCTGCTCCCAGCTGATGCTTCAGAGCCAGCACCGACACTAGATAATGGGTGATGTCAAAAAAGGGGAACACAGACGTAGGTGCAGGAGAAGGCCAGAGCCAGGTCATCCTACAAAGAGTCTAAACCACAAGAGGACCGACCACCATGGCCAAAGCAATGGGTTCACCACATAAGAAAATATTCTGTGTAAAGGATTTAACACAGCCCCAACCTCAATAAATGTTAGCTAGCATTATTTCTGGCCATTCTCAAATACAAGAATCCTGTATTTCTTGTGCCCACCTGCCAATGCCCAAGACAGCACCTTGCATGAGGAAGAACTGGATAAACGTTAACGGAATGGAATGTTTAATTTTGAGATGCTGATATTTCTTGTATTAGGCTAATACCTCTATCTCCCTCGATGCCACCTGCTAGGTGCTGAATGTAGACAAAATAGAGGATGAGAGAGCTCCAAGGAATTGCAACTAAATGTAAATTATTAAGGAAACTTTCATAGGTACAGATTCTTTTTACTTCCAAAGAGCTATCATATCTGTGCTCACTTTATTCCCCCAAGATTCCCATCAAGCGACTGCAGAAATTTTTGTAGAAGGTTGTTCATGGAAGAAGCCAAGCTCATTTCTGCCTCGGGGCCACTGCACTTGCCATTCATTGTCCAAACTGCTCTTCCCTTTGGTATCTATACCTTGTTCCTTTATTTCACTCAAGTCTCTACTAAAATGTCACTTTCTCTGTCACTCTAAAAAGTCCCCCAGGCTGGGCACGGTGGTTCACACCTGCAATCCCAGAACTTTGGAGGGCCAAGGCGGGAGGACGGCTTGAGTCCAGGAGTTTGAGAACGGCCTGGGCAAATGGAGAAACCCTGTTTCTATTTAAAAATTATATATATATAGGTATATATACACACACACAGACACACAGACACATACACACACACCCCATACTCTCTCCAACCCCCACTTGCACTGTTCTGTTTGTCTTAACATTTATCACTAGCTGACATACACCTAGTCATTTGTTTAACTGTTCATTTCCCCAACTACATTTTAAGCAAGGACTTTGTTTTGTTCACCTAGAACAGTGCCTGGCATAAAACAGGCCCTCAATAAACACTTGTTGAATGAATGAATGGATGACTCCAAAAAGGCACAGAAAAGATAACTGACTTGCCCACAATTGTATAAAACTAGTGACTCCTGGTACCAAACCTCACTGCAACTTCCCGCCACAATGCAAGCTCTCACAGGAATAGCGAATAAAGACGGAGGTAGGCTGGCAGAGAAGGGGTGAAGGCGGCACAGACGGAAGAGGGAGTGAGAGAGGGGGCTGGACAGTTAGAGCACGACCCCTGGCCCTGGGACGGGATTTTACGGATGGAGGATATCGAGGGAACCCCGGAATCGGGGTGAGTGTGTCCTGGGGGCGGGGGACTCTTTCGTTCCCTTTCCTGCTCCAGGCCTCAATTTACAGGCCTCATCTGTAAAGCGAAAGGGACAGATATAGTACGTAACGCCTCTTCTAGGCGTTAACCTCCCATCCCACCCGGAGCAACCTTCCCACGCCGTTGACCCGCACCAGCTCACCTCCCGCTCGCTCAGCCAAGAGCGCCAAGGCCGTCACCGGAGACCGCGCTTCCGCCCCACGCCACGGCAACACCTGCGCCTGGCGCCAGGAAGGACCCCACAGACGCCAAAGTCGCGTTTCTGCTCGGGAGGACAGCCCTCTGCCTGAGGATCGGCTCCAAGGAATGCCGGCCGCAAAGACAAGAACCGGCCAGGTGGAGCTGTGGGTCCCCAAACCAAGGCGTGGGCTACTGCAAAGAGAGTTACGCCTGAGGACGCATGAATCTGATCAGGCGCCTCGGACCACCCTAAATGGGGGGCCTTCGGCTAGATCACGTGGGCGGCTGTTGGAGCAGTTGCTGGGCAACCACAGCTGCTGTGCATTGTCTGCGCTGAGCTGCCTTCCTGTTCTGGCATATCAGGGGATCCCCAAAGAAAGCAAGGGGACCAACGCAGGGGCTGCTGGGGTGGAGATCTGGGTGGCTGAGTAAGGGGGACAGTAGGATTAGTTCTAGTTATTCAGTGAGGGGAGGGCTGAGAACTGGTCAGGAGCCACAACACCCTAGTTGCTGGTCAGCTCAGCCCCCTTCTTGGTGTTCGGCTTCCCCATATTGGGGTGGGGGGTGGCTATGGGGTTGGTTGTGTATCTCCTGCTTCCCTGCCCTAGAGCTGTTCATGATGACTCTGCCACAAAAATCTAGTTCAACTCACCACCAAGAGTCTGAGGTTCAGAGGGGCCTCACAAATAAATGCCAGAGGCAAGACTAGAACCCATATATTAATAGATAATCTCTCTGTAGAAATAGTCAATGAGCCTCAGATACGCAGAGGCTGCAGACATAGAGTGGTAAAACTAAAGGCGTTGCCCAGATACCTGGGAACCTGTGCTCCAGCCCTGGGCTGGGCAGAGTGAATTAATGGGTGAAGATCATTAAACTCCTTCCTCTGCCACTTCTACTGAATTTCCTGCACAGGCATTGTATCTGGTTGGTTTAATGGAATGTTTCCTTCCCCATTAAAGACATTTAATGAAGGATGAAATTTTTTCCCTGGGCTTAGAGTTCTGCTTTTTTTTTTCCAATCAGCTTTTTCAGGTTGAAGAGTTCTGCTTTTGTGTGAAGAGTGAAGGGACTGAATTCTGGGATCCAAATGCCTCCTCTGCTGGAGAATCAAAATTAAAAGTATTTTTAGAAGCAGAAAGCAAAATTAAGACGGCTCCAAACTGGAAGTCAGGACTCTATTCTATTTTCAGTGACAAGTCTTGTTTAAGTCCTCACTGTGTAACTCTGCTTATCTCTGTAAAGTAGAAAACTAGATTTTTGTAAACCCCCCCCCCAAAATAAGTGATGTGCTATTCAGAGTGCTTTAGGGTTATTTTGTGTTCTGGCAAAGAATCCAGAGGCACCCGCTTTCCCCTGATCTTGACCCTCCACTGATGTGCATTCCCTTTGCCTTCCCAGGCCATGGAAAGGAATGACATCATTGACTTCAAGGCTCTGGAGAAAGAGCTGCAGGCTGCACTCACTGCTGATGAGAAGTACAAACGGGAGAATGCTGCCAAATTACGGGCAGTGGAACAGAGGGTGGCTTCCTATGAGGAGTTCAGGTTGGCTTACTGACATTTTTCTTAGGCCCTCCTGTTTGGTATATTATAGTGGTTAACAACGAACACTCTGGAATCAAACCATTCTGGGCTTCAGTCCTGGCCTCACCCTCTGCTATTTGTGTGATCTTGTGCAATTTGTTTAATCTCTCCGAGCCTTAACTCCTCATCTGTAAAAGACATTAACTTGTTATAATTAAATGAGTTATTGCTTATAAGATTCTGAGCAGTGTCTGGCACATGGGAAGTGCTTGAAAGTGGTCAGCTGTCACTGCTGTTGTTATTATCATATTGGCTTGTAACAGGTTCAGCCTATATCATGCAAATACCAGCTGCCTGACACCCACAGACACAGCATTAAGTCCATCCCCTAATCTCTGTCCTTTGTTCGCAGGGGTATTGTCCTTGCATCACATCTGAAGCCACTGGAGCAGAAAGACAAGATGGGAGGAAAGAGAACTGTGTCCTGGAACTGTTGTACCACTCAGGGAAGGACTTTCCAGGATGTGGCCACTGAAATCTCCCAGGTAGGCGAGGCCCAGCTTCTTTAGCCCAGCAGGATTCTCTGCCCTAAAGCTCCAGTCCTGTCTTCTTACAACACATACCTCTTCCTTATTTGTCATGTTAAGCCAACAGAGACAAGTTTCTGCCTCCAATTCCAGAAAGAAAAGCAACCAGCTTTTCTTCAGATGGTGAGGCTGGGTTGAACCGGGCAGACTGAGTCAGAAAGGCTGGCTAGGCAGGTCCCCTTCCATCAGTCCTTTGACTTTAACACTCAGATCAGATTTGTGTTGCTCTGCCTCTGGGTTATATAATACATGGTATAATGATCCTCTGGCAGTGTTGAGAGAGAGACCCAGCCTTTCAGATCCTTGACATTCACTTTTGGCTCCTTTCTCTCTTCCTAAGATTGCCAGTCAATCCCTCCACCCAACTCAGAGTAAACTTTAACTTACTCTTGAAGACCAGAGCTGTGTCCCCATTCATCACTAGGAAAATCGCGGTATAAATGAGAATCTCAAATCATGGCCTGGATTCCTTGCCCTCCCTCCTGCTCCCATCCCATTTCTCCCATCTGAAAATGAGGCCCCCAAGGCCCACAGCCTTTCCAATGCTCAGAGAGCAGTATCAGAGCTAAGATGAAAACCTACAGGCTCCCCTCACTCTTACTGTCCCAGAACAGACATAAGAGCTCAGGACTCTCTTTCCCTCCTTTGTGATCCAGGAGAAAGTACACTGCCAGCCTGAGACCTCAGCAGAGTTCTACCGAGATTGGCGGCGTCACTTGCGGAGTGGGCCCGAGCGCTATCAGGCCCTGCTGCAGCTCGGGGGTCCCAAGCTGGGCCACCTCTTCCAGACAGATGTGGGGTTTGGACTTCTTGGGGAGCTGCTGGTGGCACTGGCTGATCACGTGAGGCCGGTCCACCGGGCAGCGGTGCTGGGGATCCTGCGCAGCCTGGCCAGCACCGGGCGCTTCACCCTGAACCTGAGCCTGCTGAGCCAAGCAGAGAGAGAGCGCTGCAGAGCCTTGTTTCAGAAGCTGCAGGCCATGGGAGCCCCCAGACCCATGAAGGAGGGGCTCAGCCAGGAGGAGCAGGGTCTAGAGGAGCAGTCTGGTGGGCCCCAGGAGGAGGAGAGGCTCTTGCAGGAGTTGCTAGGGTTGTACCAGCTCAATTGATAGAACCAGCTGCCCTCAGATGCCCCAGTGGTCATTGGAGGCATTTTTTTGGTTGTGGCTGTGGGGTTTCTGCAGAACTATAAGGAGAAACCTACACTTAATTCCCTTCTCAACTTAGAATTTTCAGAGCAAAAGCAGGAATTGAGTTTTCCCCACTTCTCCAGTCCCTCAGTGTCTCAGTGTTTTGAACTGTGTGGATCCACAGGACAGTCAAGGGCCCAGGAAGTTGAAAGCAGTTCTGCTTCTCACTCTTAGAGTCCACCAAGCCTCTGGCCCACTGACTCTGAGAGACAGGTGTGAGCTTAACCAAATGCTGGCTACACAAGTTACAGCCTTCACTCAGAAAAAGGAAAAAGCAAAATATTTCATCATCCATTGAAAATAAACACTGATCTCCACAGCTCTTTTTTCTTTTCCTTTTTTTCAGAGACAGGGTCTCTCTCTGTTGCTCAGGCTGGGTTGCAGTGGCACAATCATAGCTTACTGCAGCCTCAAACTCCTGGGCTCAAGCTATCCTGCCTCGGCCTCTCAAGTAGCTGGGACCACAGGTGTGTGTCCACTGATTTCTCTATTTTTTGTAGAGATGGGGTTTCACTATGTTGCTCAGGCTAGTCTCAAACTCCTGGCCTCAAGTAATCCTCCTGCCTCAGCCTCCCAAGTAGCTGGGACTACCGGTGCACATCAACATGCCCAGCTGATTTTTTATTATTTTGTAAAGATGGGGTTTCACTATGTTGCCGGGTTGGTCTCGAACTCCTGGCCTCAGGCCATCCTCCCCCCTCAGCCTCCCAGAGTGCTAGGATTATAGGTGTGAGCCATTGTGCCTGGCCCCCACAGCTCTTAACAAGAATATTTATAACCCAAAACCAATAAATGGACTTTTAATAAACAAATGATAAAATGCTTCCCCATTTTGAGGTACAGACTCTTCCCCCAGGGACTGAGTTCTTGTGTGGGTTGGGCCTAGGAAAGCCCTACGCCATCAGCTTAGGTCTAGCCAGCCTCCTGTATGGCCAGATGAGCAGGAAGGTGGGTTTCCTTCATCTCCCGGATTGATGAAAGGGAAGACTTTCCACCGGGCCAGCAGGGCTGGGCCTGGAGCAGTGAGGCAGAGAGTTCCCTGCCTAAGCACCTGGGCCCTTCTCATTCCGGTTTCCCTTGGCCCATTCTTGGGTAAGTGCCAGTGTTCTAGAAAGGGAAGTGAGAGTCAGGTTCTAGAATGATTTCCCCTTGAGATCAGGCCTGGAGCATTAGAAGGGCATCTTGTACATCCACTGGGAATAAATTGCCTTGCATTTGGCGGCTTCCCCTGCAGATCGTTGCTTCTTTTCCTGGCAGCTTAATCCTTTCCTCACATAGAGGCTTCCTCTCAGCAGATTTCTAGAAGCCCCATAGGCCTTTAGTGCCTTGGTTTCGCCTTACCCTTCTGTCCCCTCCCTCCTGCAGGCATGAGCCTGGCCCACACCACTGTGCTCCTGTGGGCGTGGGGGAGTCTCCAGGCCTTTGAAATCGTAGAGAAGGAGAACATTTTTCAGAAGACGCCCTGCCCCGCTTTCCTGATGTTTGACAATGCAGCCTACCTGGCTGACATGAGCTTCGAGCTTCCCTGCCGCTGCAAGCCTGAGGAGGTGTCGGCTGTGGTCTGGTTCTACCAAAAGCACCTAGGCAGCAGCCACACCAAAGTACTGACGGACTTCGACGGGCGGGTGCTGACGGAGGCGGCTCAGGTGCGTGTGGGCAGCGACATGCTCGTCCGCTTCAGCATCCGCATGTTCAGCCTGTTGGTTTTCCGCGCCCAGCCTGAGGACTCAGGCCTGTACTTTTGCGGCACCCGCAAGGGGGACTACTTTTACGCCTACGATGTAGACATCCAGAGCAGTGAGGGAATGGTGGCTGCCTTCAAGGACCAGGGCCAGGAGCCCTTTGCAGACGAGTACCATGGGAACCTCCATGTCTTCACCACCTTCTGGGAGTGGACGCCCTGTGACCGCTGCGGGGTGCGTGGGGAGCAGTGGCGCATCGGCCTCTGCTACCTGCAGAGCCCAGACCTCTCCCCACGCTACCACAAGACAGTGCCAGACGTGGTGTCCTGCGGCTCTCAGGCCGTGCCGAGGAAGCTGCGGACCAGAGCCAGGGACCACACGCCCGAGCTGCTGGTCCAGAGCTGTGTAGTGCCCTGTGAGAAGAAGACGACATTTCGGGAGGGTGTGCTGGCCATCTTCAACTACGTGTCCAAAGTGGGCAGCCGGCCCTGGGTGCCCCAGGTGCCCATCCAGTTCCACCAGCAGAGACTGGGCCACGGACTCATCATCTCCTGTCCTGGGGCCCGGCCGGAGCATGCTGTGGCCTGGGACAAGGACCGCCAGTACCTCTACCGCACACAGTACCTGAAGGGTGTCAACAGGTCCATGAGGGTGTTCATCGACCATGGCAACCAGCTCCACATCCGCTTCACGCAGCTGGAGGACCGGGGCATCTACTACTGCTGGCGGCAGGGGGTGCGGGTCGCTGGGTTTCGGCTGGGTGTGACATCTCGAGGGCACTACCCGGCCTCATTCTCGGACCCGGAGACTCGCTCTGCTGTGACGCTCACCCTGATAGGCTACCTGCTCATCACAGCAGTCTTTGTCACCATTCACCTCTGTCGTTGCTGCTGTTACCTATTTCGCTGCTGTCCCAACCTCTCCCGCTAGGCGCTCTCTTGCCCAGCTCTGAAGACCAGTTGTGCTTCAATGTGTTTGTTAATAATACCAGTTGCCTTTGGGTGGACACCCTGGGCTGGAACTGAGACGGTATGGACAAGTCTGTTAGTTACAGCCTGTTCCCCGTTTTCGTGGGCTGGTCTGGGGCTTGATCTGGGAGTAGGGGATCCTGGGGCAGGTGGGAGATTGGGGAGCAAAGTCGGGAGGGAACAGAGCACACATGTCCTGACTTCGCGCTCAGGTCAGAGAAGGAAGGAATGAGCTGAGCATGATCAAATGGCCTGTCCAGTGCCAAACAGGGTTTGAGGTGCTTTACCTTTTGCCTTGGAGCATTGCCGAGTGGTGAAACTGAGGGTTGGTGAAACTGAGGGTAGCGGGGAGAGGAGGGAAGGAGAGAGTGGCGGGAGCTAGTGCGTGTCCGCTTTGGCCTCCTCCCCAGCCTTGCTCTGCCACTGACAGGTAGAAATAGCAGGTCTGGGAATAAAGGTGAAAAATGAGAACAGGGGAAATGGGTGAGGAAAGTGGAGTTCAAATTCAGGACTTTCCTGAGACAATGTACCCAAGCTAGGGACTAGGGGTGACAAGAGGGGTGGGAGCAAAGACCTGGGGCTGCCAGGCACAGGCTCTACTGTGGCAGAGCAGTGTTGGGTGGGATTCGACATGTGGCTGCTGCCGTGAGGGTTGGGCTGTGAGGGTGGTCAGTGGTAAGGAGCAAGTCGGTTTTGTCCACGGCCACGTCTTGGCCCCAGTCCCACCCTCTTGAGAACAGATCAGAGTCCACTCTGGGGAAGCCCGCAGCATTTGTCTTTATTTTTCCTCGGTGACTAAAGGCAGCAGCAGTGCCCTGAAGGTTAGCAGCAGCAGCAGCAGGTGGCAGGAAGGAGTCACAGGAAAGGGCACCAAGTCTTGGGAAGGGGGAGGGACCCCCACCTCTCCTTTCAGCCTTAGAGGGGAGAGGAGGACCCTGGGGTGGGCCCTCTTGGCCCCATTTCTGGGCACAGATACCCACTACTTGCCCAGGGAAAGCAGAGGGGTGCTCTGGGGCGGAAGCGTCAGCCCCAAGTGCTGGCCTCCAGGCTGCAGGAACACAAGCCAATGTCATCACCCTGTTCATGCCTCAATTTCCTGAATTGTAAAATAGGGTGCTACCTAAATTACTGGGTACATACCGTGTATGAGCAAGAAGGGATCACGAGAGGCCCTTGGGTGAGGGAAAAGCAGCTGGTCATTATGGGGGGAGGGGGTCAGCAGTCCCAGGGCTCAGGGGCCTGGGTGGATGGGATTGTGCAGCAAGGAAGACGCCTTTAGAACTGGGACAAAGCTGTGCCCTGCCCCTGTGTACAGCAGCCCCTCTCTCTCTCCTATTTCAGCATCTTCAAGAGGATGAGTCACTTCCTTGATTCCCACAACCCAGAGGCCAAGTGTAACTGGTCACTCACAACCCCCGACTGTAATGTCTAGCATCGTCCCAACCACCACCTGCACCATCTCTGCTAGCGCCCCCTCCAGTCTGCATGGGGGAGTCCTCCGGGGCTTGACCTCTCTGCACCTACACCTGGGGGCCAGGCAGCCCCCCTCTATCCCTCCCAGCACCCCTTCCCTCTCCACATACACTGTAGATTCCCCAAGTGCTGAGAATAAGGTGCCCGCGTGCCCATGGCATGCCCACAGACGGGGCCCTGGATGGTGGCTCAGTGGGACTGAGACACTTGGATTATTACTCAGGAGGTCCCTCTGGGATCTGGCAGGACCTCACCACCCACTCTCAGACTGGTCAGGGTCAGTCTAGAAGATCAAGCCTGTGGCCAGGCCTCCCTTGCCTGTGGGGACTTCCCCTTCCTGTCTGGGTTTTGCTTTTCCTCCAGCAGCCTGAGGAAACTCAAAAGCCCAGTTGCCAGACACCCCGGAGACCTCCAACTCCGGCAACGGTTGCCATAACAACAGGGATGGGGATATGAGGGTGATTTATTAGGTCCCACTGCTTCTCCTCTTCCCAATTCTAACCCAAGCTGCTGGCCATGCCCTTCCACGCTGCCCCTTTGGGGTGAGTGCCCTGTTAGTTGGAGCTGCTGGGTGCCGAGTGGGTGCTGTCCGACAGGCCTAATGCTGACGGAGCCTAGGGCAGCAAGCTGGGTAGAGACGGAAGAAGGGGAGCAGCTGGGGTGGATGGAAACTCAGGTCTGGAGAAATGAGCTATCAGAAGTGGGGCAACTGTCCTGCTCCTGCTGCAGGTTCCTCATGCTGTGGGGCAGGGGCCACCAGGTGGGGCCTGCCTCACATCACGTCCTTGTGCTCCTGCTTGGACTCCTTAATGACCTGCAGGGCACAGGGAAGGTGCACAGGGCAACAGTTAGGAGCTCACACAGACCCCAGGTCCACCACTACCAGGCTGCGTAACCTTGGGCAAGTCCCCAGTCTTCCTGGGTCTTTCTTTTTTTAATAGTAATCACAACTATCTCGCGCGGTGGTCAGAGCGGGTAGTGACATACACTTGTGAAGCATTCAGCACCATGCCTGGCACATGGTCAGCTGGTGGTGTGAGGTTAGCTGTCACTGTTGCTGGTGTGATGGGGAGGAGGAGACGCCAAATCCCTTCTTCCCATTCCCCTGCCAGGGTCCTTTCACTAAGCTGGAAATTGAAAGCTCTCCCTTTCCCCAGTTGTCCTGGCTGGAGTTGGGAGTGAGAGCTGCTAACTTTAATCCTCTTCCCCCATCCCCGAGGCCTGACACTGAGAACACCTGAGTCTGAGGGTGGGAGAGGCAGAAAGCCTGAGTTAGGACCCCATCTAGTGGCCCAGGCTCCCCTTAGAACTTCCTTCCCCTTGTCCACAGTTCCCTGGGCAGCTCCTGGGAGTTACTGGGGACCTTCTGTGTGCCAGTTCCAGGCTTTCTTCCACTGCCTGGCCTTGAGGATTCCTGGGAGCAGCTGAAGCTGGACTGGGCCAGAGTCCCCCTCACCTCTCCATCCCGCATCTCCACAGTCTTCACCACGATGTTCCTCTTGAGGTGGCCTTCTGACACGGACTTGGTGTCCAGGCTGGTTTCTGCAGGTGTGAGGAGAGGAGGCCTCCCATGGGCTCTGGGAGTACTAGACATCCTCTCCCACCCCCAGCTTCCCCATCACACCCCCAGTGATGAGTATGAGAGCCTATCCAACCAGGCAGGGAGAGCCTAGGCTCTTCCAAAGGGGCTGGAGACCCCTCAGATCCCCACAGTGCTGGGCAGGTCCTGGCTGCTCTGTCTGCTGGCCTGGCTTCATTTCAGCCCCTGCACAAGCTCTTGCCTGGAACCTGGTTTTCTGACAACCCAGCGCTGTCCAAGGAAGGAGCACATGGGCTTTGAAAGCAGGCAGACCAGAGCTCGAGTCCCAGCTCAGCCACTAACCAGCCACACAACTGTGGGCCAGTTAACTGACCTCTTCCAGCTTCATTTCCTCATCTGCAAAATGGGGATGATGGTGTCTACTTCTAGAAATGGGAGTGAGGAGTCAAGTAACGTGTGTTAAACATCTGGCACATGTTAGTGCTCAATACACATGGGTCCTTTTCCTGTCCCCCTTCCCCTTCCTTCTGCCACTTATCTGGACCCAAGTGACCTTTGACTGTTTAGCACTTGGCAGCATTACCTGTACCTGGTCAGCCTGGTTAACCCTTCTGATGCAAATTAAGCCCTGGGACGTGTATATCTAGTGTTCCTAAATATTCTAGCCCAGAAGAGGATTTTTTTTCCTTAGCTGAGAACCATTTGAGTGCCACATACAAATAAAAAGTAATTTAGTTCTTCCCCCCTCAGAGAGAAAAATATAACATGTCACACTCGCTAATATTTAAAATTGAGAGCAGGGAACATAAAACTTTATTCACTACAAGAGCAGCGGCCCAGAGGGAAATAATCCTCTAGACTGAATCAGCGCTGAGCTGAGCGGCGGAGTCTCAGGGACAAACAGATCAAGCAGAGAGCCTGGCCACCAGCACTGAGAGACCCAAGGGGCCTTCCCAGTGACAGGGAAGAGGTGAGACAGAGGTTGGTGTTTGCTCACAGTCTCCAGAGCATCTCATCTGAGCATGTAAGGACACACCACCTTTAACACTAACCAGTTCTGCTATCTTAATCTACATTTACCCTGTGCCAGGTCCTGGGCTGGGCACTGAGGTTCCTGGAAAAATGACACAGTCCTGGACCTAAAGGGGAAGCTCGGGAGGAGGGGGCCCAAGAGGATGGGGAAAATGGGGCCGGTGAGGCTCCCTCCCTGTCAAGCTGAGACCAGTGCTGTAGCTGAGAGGCAGGCAGCTAACCGAGAGCCGGCGGGGCTCCGTTTACAATCTGCTGAGCCTGTATTGGTATAACTTGTATTGTGAGGCTTTTGAGATGTCTTGTGACCTTGTGACCTTCCCCTTCATTGGTGCTTTTGCCCCCTGTAGTGACAAGCAGTTAAAAAAACAAAAACATAAAACACTCAGAAGGGCAGAGCTTGCTCAGGGATCTGCAGACAGGGCAGAGGCTGAGGCTGCACCCTGTTCTGCAGGGTTAGGGGGTGCAGGGAGGGGGAGTGGGGCACAGGGAACAGCAGGACAGGGGTGGCTGCAAGCCCCACCTGGAAATGCCCTGGGATGGTGTGCTCTGGCTAGGAGCCCTGTGGTGAATCATGAAGGCCCCCAAAGAGAGCCCAGACCCCTTTGCCCTGGTCCTTGGCCCCAGGCCAGAGCAGCCCACCAGGCCTGGGGAAGGGGCAGGACTCCAGCACCCTTCCCACAAGGCCCTGCTCTACTGACCTCGGATCTGCAGGTTGGAGAAGGTCTGCACAGGAATGGTGATGCTGAAAGAAAGCGGAGGGAAACAGATGACCAGGCTGTCCAGGGACACTCTCAGGCTGGGTCCTGGTCCAGGGTCATCATGACAACCTCAAGGCCCTTTTCCTTGCCAGGAAAGTCTGATTCCCTCTCCTAGCTTTCCCCGGCAGCCAACATGCTCTCTAGAGCTCTAAAAGTCTGCAAGGGGCTTGGGCGTTGTCTGCAATGGGAGCATCTCTATCCAAAGGAAGATGACAGAGGGAGGGGAAAGTGATGAAAAAAGTTCCAAGGAGCAGAAGAGATGGGTCAGGTGAAAAGAAGTCCAATCTTTGTTTGGAGGGTGCGGAGTGGGCCTCTTAGTTTGGGGGGTGACCCAAGTCCTTGGCCCTGAGACTTAATCAGTATGGGTTGAATCCATTCATTCACTCATCAAACATTTAGTGAACACCTATTGTGCGCTGGGCATGCACTGTGCTGGGCATTGCGGTGCGAGGAGGGCTGGACACAAGGCTGAATACGACTCAGTCCCTGAAGGGAGCGCGCTCCACTCTGTGGAGAGGCAGCAGGGAGAATCCCCTAGGGCTGTGACCAGGGCTCACCGGTTCTCCTCGCCCTCCAGCAGCTTTCTGTAGGTGGCGATCTCGATGTCCAGGGCCAGCTTGACGTTGAGCAGGTCCTGGTACTCCTGCAGGTGGCGGGCCATCTCATCCTTGAGGCTCTGCCCCTCCTCCTCCAGCCGGGCCAGCGCGTCCTGGTAGCTCGCTGCCTCCCGCACGTGGCGCTCCTCCTGCTCGCGCATCTGCCTCTCCAGGGACTCGTTCTGCGGAATCCAGCCGGCAGGTCTCTCGGCCCCGCCCGGAGCTCGGACCCCACGACTCAGAGGCTTCGAGGCTCAGTCCCGGCCCAAGGCCTCGCCTCTAGCCCCAGGGTAACTTTTCAGAGCCCTCCCCCACCCCCCACCCCCGCAGCCTGGTCCTCGCCTGGGCCTTCTCCCCAGCATCTCCTGGAATGGCGGGTCCCCACATCCTCCCCCCGCTCCGTCCAGCCCTGCCCACGCTCACCGTGCCGCGCAAGGACTCCAGGTCGCAGGTCAAGGCCTGCAGCTGGCGCCGGTAGTCGTTGGCCTCGTGCTTGGCCTGGCGGAGCAGCTCCGAGTTACGGGCGGCAGCGTCTGTCAGGTCCGCAAACTAGATGGGGAGAGGGTCCTAGGCTGAGGGCAGCCTGGGGTCTCGGGGCTGCAGGGGTGGGGAGCACCTATGGGGAAGCTATGTGGGCAGGACGGTGTCCAGGAAATCAGGGAGGTGGGCAGGACCCCAGGGCATTGGCCCTGGCTGGCATCAATCCTAGCAGCTGTGACCCAGGGGCAGCGTGGCCACTGTTGGGCCCCAGCACCTAGCACGATGCCTGGTCAGCTAACGAATGAATGAACAATGAATCCAGAACCTTCTGCACAGGCAGCTCCCTCTGTGGGACTGAACCCTGTCCTCCCGCACAACGGACGGTGGGTTCTGGCAAGCAGAGCCCTGGGTTCTAACAGCGCCTTCTCCCCCAGGCTGCAGGGAGGCCCTCACAGCTGCTCAGGACTCGACCCTTCTCAGACTGTCAGTGGCATCTGCTGCCCACGCTCCTCAGCTTGGCACGCTGGGCCAGCATCTCTGGGTCCTGCTTTCTGCTTTTCTGCCTCCAGGCCTCTACACAGGCTCTGTCCTGCACTGGGAATGCCCTTCCCCCTCCTCTGCGTGCCCATAGCCTGCCTGCCCTGCCCAGCCCAAATGCCCCCTTCTGTGACATCTTCCCTGGTTCCGACACTGCATATTAACTCCACACTGTGGTGGTCTCTGTGGGCGCCATATTTGGGTGCACATCACGTCTTCCCGGTCCAACACCTCTCTGTGTCCCAGGAAGTGCCTGGCGTACAGCAGATGCTCGGTAACCCAGAACACAGGCTGGCAGAGGCATAGAATTCAGGCTCCCAAGTGAGACGGGCTGGGGTTGGAAATCCAACTCTACCACTTAGGAGCTGTGTGACTTTGAGCAAATTAGTTAACCTCTCTGGCTTCAGTCCTCTTATCTGTCAAAGAATGGTACCCACTTCATAGTAAAACAATCCATGCAAAACACAGGGCCTGGCACACAACAGAGTTGGCCAATAATAATAATAGTAATAGTAGCAGTAATAATAATGAGTACTTTTGAAAATCATAGTGTCTGTGTGACCCTGGACAAGTTATCTCACTTCTCTGGTGAAAATCAGTTACCCAGAGAGGATATTCTCCCAGCTTCCTATACCCTCCTTCCCCCATTATCTTGTATGGAGCAAGGAGGGCTGCCTGGAGGAGGTGGGTTGGCCCACAGGCCAATACCTTGGACCGATACCACTCCTCTGCCTCATGCATGTTGCTGGACGCCACTGCCTCGTACTGCGTGCGGATCTCTCTCAGGGCTGCTGTGAGGTCTGGCTTGGCCACATCCAGCTCCACATGGACCTGCTGTTGGGCCAGCTGCTCCTGGAGTTCCCGAACCTCCTGGCAGAGGGAAGAGAAGGGGTACGAGGGCTCAGAGCCCAGGCCACAGCTGAGGTTCCCCACAACGTCATGCACTGTTCTGCCAGCCCCTCAGCCATGGGCATTGGCTGAGGGAAAGGCTGTAGCTCTTGTTGGAAGAAGTGGCATTTGCTCAGGCTAAAGGAGGCAGGGGATAGTTTGAGGGTCTCACAGCATCCTTCCCCCAAGGGCTGGATAGGCACGAGCCAGGTGCTGAAAATGCACTGGTGTTCTCATGGGTGAGTGGGGCCATGGATTCTGAGTCCAGGGTCTGAGGTCAGAGCTCAGCAGGGCCCTTTTTTTTTTTTTTTTAATGAATGGCTCTCATTTTAATGGGGACAGATGGCAGAGGGAGTGGAGGCAGAGAGACTGTGTGACCTTGGCACCTTTTTTAACCTCTCTGGGCTTCTCCTCTGTGAAAGGAGGTGAGTACTGGGAGGGCTCCTGTCTCACTGGGCTGTGAGGCAGCAAGGCCTGTTGTACTTCTCAGTAAATGGAGTGTGTGTCTGTGTGCATTTCACCAGGGGTTAGGAATGCTCTCTCTCTCTCTCTCTCTCTCTCATTTTCTTTCTCTGTCTGACAATCTGTTTCTCTCCTTCTCTCTCTGAGTATCTCTCTCAGTCTCAGTCTTTCTGTCTCTGTCTCTCAGTTGCAATCTCTGTGTTGAGCTTTCCTCCCTCTGCCCTGGCCTCACCTCGTCATGGATCTTCCTCAAGAACCGGATCTCCTCCTCCAGGGACTCAATCTTCCTCTCCAGATCCAGACGGGCCAGGGTGGCTTCATCTGCCTCCTGGAGTGGGGAGGGGCAAAGGGCCACTCTGACCTCAGACTCATCCTCCCCCATTCCCCAGCCTTGCCCTACCCCTCCTTCTGGGGCAAGGGGGAGCAGTGCATTGCTCTGCAGGGCTGAGCTAGGGGGCTGTGTTTGGGTGGGCTGCCATCGACCCTTTCCCCTGCCCTTGCCCCTGCCCTCTACCTCTGTTACCTGTCGAAAGGCGGCCAGGTTGTTCTCGGCCTCCAGCCTCAGGTTGGTTTCATCTTGGAGCCTGGGGTGGGGGGACACATTCCTAGGTCCAGGCTTTTCTGAGGACACTTGGATCCCTGCCCCAGTCTCCCTGGAGGTGGCTGTCACAGAGATCCCCCCAGGACCAGTAGAGCAACAGGAGGAGTGAGGGTTCAGGGGGACCTTAGACAGAGGCCTTGGCGGGAGGGTGAGCAGACGAAGGCTTTCGCTTTAACTCATTACGAAGGTGCCTTATCAGGGCTGGTGCACCTGCTCCTGCTCACACAGGCGCATCCACCGACATATACTCACCGCTGCGTGTGCACACACACGTCCTGCACTTGAGGGCTCACACGTGCCCTGCCAGCTCAGCAAAGCGCCACCCCCTCAGAGATTCCTCTGATCCCAGGCAACTACCTTGGAAATGGATTTTATTATGATCCCACTTCACAGCTGTGCAAGTCAGAGTGACTTGGCTGGGGTCATAAGCAGGTGACAGGCAGTCACCTGTGTTCTGCACCTCTACTTCCTTTACCCCAGTGTCCATTCCGCCTCGTGGACACCAGCCTTCTCTACTTGTGACTCCTCCTTTATACAGACCCGGGCTCGGAGTAGGTGAGCCCCCGCCCACAGTCACAGGGCCCGGCCATGAATGAAACCAAGACCCTTCCTGCTGGGGTCCCGACTGTTCCCCATAACTTTCCCCAGTCAGGAGCTGCTGAGAGGACCCCAGCTCCCTGGCAGAAGGTGTCTGGGAGTCAGATCCCTGAGGCCCTGGGTCTCTTCCCTTTCCTTCCCATTATGTTGGGGAGCAAGGAGAGCCCCCCAAGGTGGAAAGACCCAGCAAGCAGGGAGGCGGAGCCCCTGCCCCAGCCTCTGCGGGCCTGCAGGCACTTCCTCTTGAGGCTCAGTCCTCTCTGCTCACGAGGGCCCTCTTCCCTGTCCCACTCCTCACTTCTGCCTCAGGGTGCCCAGGTCCTGTGCCAGGTTGTCCCTCTCGACCTCCAGCCGGGCGCTGTTGGCGGTGAGTTGGTCGAGCCGTAGCCGCAGCTCACGCAGCTCAGCCTGGTAGACGTCGGCCAGCTTGGTGGGCTCCTTGGCCCGCAGCTGGTTCAGCTCAGCAGCCAGTGCCTTGTTTTGCTGTTCCAGGAAGCGAACCTTCTCGATGTAGCTGGCAAAGCGGTCATTGAGCTCCATCATCTCTGCTCTCTCACTGACCCGGGTCTCCTTGAAGCCAGCGTTGAGTGCCCCGGCCAGGGAGAAGTCCACCCGGGCCGGGAGAGGAGGGGGCATTCGAGCCAGGGAGAGGCGGGGGCCAGCACCCAGGCGGCGACCCGGAGCCAGGCCCCCCACCATCTCCGCAGAGGATGAGACGTAGGCACGGCGAGCAGCCGAGGTGATGCGTCTCCTCTCCATCCTGCCTGGCTCTGCTGGCTCCTGGGGTGCGAGGGCTTTATGGAGGAGTGGGCTGGACTGGTGCTGCCTGGCTGCTCCTGGCTACGCCCCCTGGCATAGCCTGAGGGGGTGGGGCTGGACCGCAGCCCAGCCATGGGGAGAGCTCCTCTCACCCCATCGAGGTCATTGTGCCCAGAGGGAGGGCTTTCTGGGCATGCCAGCCCCTGCCTGAGGAGGGCAGTGCCTGGGGCCGGATGCTGGGGCCGGGGCCCTGATCACTGAGCAAGCAGACCCTCGCCCTAGGAAGGCGGGTCGAGAAAGGGTTGGTTGGACATAAATATGTACAATTATTATGCAGCAATTAAAAATGAAAATGGGCTGGGCGTGGTGGCTCACGCCTGTAATCCTAGCTCCCTGGGAGGCCGAGGCAGGTGGATCGCTCAAGGTCAGGAGTTCGAGACCAGCCTGAGCAAGAACGAGACCCGGTTTCTACTAAAAAATAGAAGGAAATGATCTGGACAACTAAAAATATATATATAAAAAAATATTAGCCGGGCATGGTGGCACATGCCTGTAGTCCCAGCTACTCGGAAGGCTGAGGCAGAAGGATCACCTGAGCCCAGGAGTTTGAGGTTGCTGTGAGCTAGGCTGATGCCATGGCACTCACTCCAGCCTGGGCAACAAAGCAAGACTCGGTCTCAAAAAAAATAAAAATAAAAATGAAAATGGAAGCACTGAAGGAAGGAAGGAAGAAGGAAGGAAGGGCTGGGTCAGATGACCCCTGACCTGACTTCTGACTCTTAGATTTCCAAACCCAGCCTCACTCACTCACTCAGAACTCCTCTAAGTTTCTGCTAGATGCTGGGAATTTGGTGAGAAACAACCTGGTCCTTACCCTCAAGGAACAGCCTATGTTATAGTTTCCTATTGAGCCCCATTCCCAGCAGGTTCCTGGAAGCCTCTGCTCTGAACACTGACATCCCACACTCCTGCTTTCTGCTGGTTCCCTGGAGTTCTGGGCGCTGGGGGCTGGGATTGGACACCAGCCCTTTCTGAGGGTCTGAGGGATCACAGCCTCTATCTGGCAGTGGAGGGATGGCAGAGACATGTGGAAGCCCTAACAGGGCAAGAGGGGCAGAGTCTCCAGCCCTCTCCCTGGGCTACTCATTAGCCCCCTGCGTCAGTCCCACCAGACACCCCTCCCTTGCCTGGCCTCCCTGCACCCCCTCCCAGAGCCGGGCCCTGACAGCTCCACAAAGCAGTTATGAATGAGCTGGCTGTGCCGGCTCGAATCTTTGCTCGGGCAGCACCCCGTTTCCCTGGTCACCTTCATTCTCCCACTGCAGATTTATTTCCTTTGAGTTCCTGCACATCAGCCTGAGAAGACAGGAAAGGCCCTTGGGGGTAGGTGGGTGGGTTTGGGAACCCATGAGCCTATGGATCCACCTGGGAGCCTGGGGCCTGGACCCTGTTGCCCCTTGAGACAGGTCCGCCCACCCCCTCCACTCTGGTCCCACAGGGACAGAGCCCCACCCAGGCCCCTCACCCATCTGTGTCCTCCAACTTCTGGGAAGCAGACACCCCTCCTCTCCCCCCCCGCCTCCCTGCCACCCACTGCCCATGCCTGGGCCTCTGATCACTTTTCCTGGGCACTTGCTGAATAGAGCCTTGTTCTCCACCGCCGGTGAGGGCGCCACACAGCAAGGGCAGCCCCCAGGGGGCTATGCTGCTTTTATCCCAAGATGCCCGGCTGCCAGGCTGGGCTGCGACACAAGCCCCCTGCTCAATGGGCTTCTCGGAATGCAACTGACAGGGGCTGGGGTGCAGCGGGAAGTAGGCAGTGTGCCCACCCCTGACCATTGTGTCTGTGCCAAGGTGAGTCATCCAGTGGGCATGAGGAGAGGGCCCTGGGGGGCGGCCAGCCAGCATTACCAGGTCTCTGCCTGCAGACAAAGCTGGCTGATTGGCCCTCCCCAGCTCTCAGAGCCAGCTCGGGCCCCCGAGCCCCATCGGAGCAACAGCTCCTGCTTCACACCGGGGGATGTTCTTCATTTGGGTTCGTCATGGGCTGCCTGCTAAGGTTTCCCACGTGAGTCCGGTGCAGAGAGGGAGGTGAGAGCCCCTTAGCCTCTAGCCACATTTGACCCTTGGCCTGAGCAGGGCAGGGCAATCTTGAGGAAGGGGCGCCCAGTGACCTTTGATCCTGCTGTGGGTTGGGGAGCTGGGAAAGGACAGGGGGCTTTCAGGGAAGAGCAAGACTAGGGACGAGCCCCTGTCCTAACTTTCATCCCTGTGGCTAGCAGTGGCCCGCCCTTCCACATTGCCCAGCAAGTCACAGTCTTCCCTTTTGGTTCAAGTGAAATCTCATTGAAATGAGGGCAAAGCAGTCCTGGAGAGAAAAGATGCGACAAGAGCAGGAGGCACTTGTCATCGAAGCTCAGCGAGTTGTCCCTGTGTATGTGAGACACCAGTTTGTTTCAGCACCAGCAGATGAAGTCTCCCAGTCTTTGTCCCTCAGCCACCTGCCTGGGACCCTGTCACAGGCCCAAGTTCCATCCTCAACCCCAGCCCTGCCCCTTAGACCCATCTCCACACTCAGCCCTAACCACCTAAAGGTGTCAGCACAGAGAACCAGAGTCAGACAGACTTGGTTGTGGTTGTTTTCCAAACTTGCTTTATTTTTTAAGTTATACATGCATTGTAGAAAAATCAGAAAAGACAGATAAGCAATACAACAAAGTTTAATTAGCCATAATTTTGCCACCTGGAGATAAACACTACCAGATTTTTTCCACACATATAAACTCAGTTTCTTCAAAGTGCATGCATGCTGTACAAATTATTTTGCAATTTGCTTTTCTCACTCAACAATATGTTGCGAACATCTTTCCATATCAATAAATATTTATCTACATCATCGTTTTAACAGCTGCATGGTTTTCCACTATATGCATTCATTTAACCAAGCCCTGTCATTGGACAGTATGTTCTGTCTATCTCTCTCTTTCTGTTTTAAACCACACTCTGATTCACATCTGCCCCAGGCAGACACAGCCCTCGGGCAAGCCCTCAGCCCTCCCAGCCGCCACCCCTTCTCCTAGCCTGGCTCAGGCCCCATTCTCTGGGGGGGACCTCCTCTCCCACCTCCCCAAGAAGAAGACCCTAACATCCAAAGCTTCAAGCCGAACCATAGACTGACTTCTAGACTACACAGCTGGATGCTGCTGGCATGCATTGGGGTGCCCAGACACACCTTTAAGGAGCCTGCAGCCAAGTCATGCCTCACTTCAAGCCCAGATGGGGACTAGGTGACCTCCCTATGTCCCTCCCCTGTGTCAGAATCTGCCAGATAACCTTCTGTCTACAGGGCAAAGCCCAAATGCCTCCCAGGACAGACCAACGCCACATCTGGCGTCAACCCCCACATAACGTACCTGCTGTTTGCCAAATACGCCAGCCTCTAATTCAAGTGGCGGTTTTGCCACTTGGCTGCTGCTCACTGGCTTTGCTTGTGCCCCCACTCCTCGCCCAGTGCCTGGAACAGCATGGTGGTCACCAAGCTGGGTGGGATGAAGAGAGTCTCTCTGGCCAACCAACCCCTTGGCAACCACTGGTCTGTCCGTCCATGCCCGAGGAAGGGAACTGAGCCCAGTGGCCACTAGATGGCGGTGCTCAGCTGCCCAGGTTCCAGTGGCCACTAGCTACAGCTGCTTAGAGGCCGGGAGAGAGCTGGTCTCACAGCTGTAGGCGGGTTCTCTAAAACCCAAATTTGTATCACCCAGAGGCATTACCCCTTTATTCTCTAGCCTTGCCTCTGACTGCTATGCAGTGCCCTCTAGGAGAGAGAGCAAAGCCTTGTCACTCAGTAGCTGTGAACTCTTGGATGACTTGAGGAACCTTCTCTGAATCTCCATTTACCATCTACAAAATTGGACTTGCCATTCCTACTCCCAAGCAAGGTAGTTGTGAAGATAAAATCACTGGAGGCTGTGCATGGCAGGTGCTTGACAAGTCATAGCTTCCACATAACGACACCTCCCATGTGCCTTACCTATCAACATTAGCACATCGGTGATGGGGTTGGCCCGTAGGAGTGGGAGCTGGGTCTTCTAGGGGGGCTGCCATGTCCTACTGACTCCACTGAGAATAGGTGGGCACCCCCCTCAAAGGCAGTTACCTGGCAGTGTGGACAGGACAGAGGGGCTGCAGCCAGTGAAGGGAGGGTGTGTCGGCACCATTCACCCCCAGACCGCTAGTCGTTGGTGGCTACAGGTCTCCCAGGGGATATGTGTAAATAATTTTCAACTGCTCTGGACTTGAGTAGAGGCTGTTTGTTAACCTGATTTTTTGTTTCCCTGACCCCATGGGCTCTATTCCCTCCACCCCTTCTCTTTTCCACCCCCAACCTTGAGCCCACAGTCCACACAGGTTGAGTTCTTGGGAAACCAACACCACTTCCTGTGGGTGTGGGTCTCATCTAAGGCTTCCTGAGGAGGGGACCATGATGGGGGCTTCCTGATGTTAGGACCTATGTCTTCCCATAAACTGGATTCTCCCTAAGGACAGGGCTGCCCCCGAGACTGAAGCACCCACAGGACAGGAGCCATCCTTCCATCCTGGATGGGAGCCCCCTAACGCGAGAACCCACAGTTCACCGTCAGACGGATGTTCCTTGAGGGCAGGGGCCGTCTCCCTATTCACTTGGAGGGGCTGCCTCAGAGCAGGGACCATCCCCTCTCCCCGTCCTTAGCCTGGGTCCAGCCAGGTTCCGTGGGTTGGAAACCGACTCCTGTGGCTGCAGAACGGTCCCTGGCTTCAGCCCAGATCCTTCCTTCCCCTTGCTCTTCCCTGGCCCCTCTCGACTTATTGAGGGCATCAGCTCACTCCCCTTCATAGACCCCAGGGGGCCAGGCTGCTGCCTTGGGGTTAACAAGCCCTTTCTCACTGGCTTCTCCCCAGCCCAGCCAGGCCCGCTCCAGCCTGCCCCCCATCTCCCAGCCTCTAACCCTGAGATCAGCTTTTTAATTGCTTTCCCTGATCTGCTCTGCTCCCTGCTCCCCTCTGTCTCCCTGTCTGATTGGGTCCCTCCAGAGGACAAAAGGCGGGGACCAGATGTGGCCCTGGTGGGAGGAGAGGTCTGGCGAGTGGCCTGTTATTTCCAGTCCAGGAGTCCTCCCAACAGACAGGATGAGAACGGAGAACGGAGGTGGGGACAGGGGGACTGCAGGCAAGCTGGGGGGAGCCCTTGGGATGAGCTAGAAAACACAGCCACCATCTCCAGGCCCTTGAGGTGACTCCCCTCCCCCGACAACCTTCATCCCAAGCCCTCCTGAATCCCTTTTCACCAAAGAACCTTGAAGGAAGGGAAGACAACTAGGATCCCCCAAACATAGCCAAAGGGACGTTCCTGGGGAAATCTGGGGTCTGGGAGGCAGGACTCCTGAGTCAGTAGCTGCCAAGGAGGCTCCCTAGGTGGTGATGAAGTCCCCTGGGGGGCTGAGCTGATGGCTGTGGGTAGGAGGGGACCCAAAAAGAAGACCTGGTGCTCTCTCCTTGACAGGTACCGACATTGATGGAGGTTTGGTCTTATACTCAGGTGACAGGGACAGGTGCCGTCCTGACTCTCTGCATGCAGGGACCATGTCTTGTTCTCTGTGTTTTCAGCCCCTGGTACTTACCTTGGTTCTGTGAACTGGGCAGGAATTTGTACCCCAGGGTGGGGGTCCAGACATGAGCTGGGGAGACTAAGGCAAGCAAGGAAGTGGGGGTACAGGGCCTGGGGAGACAGGACTTCTGAACCGAGAGAAGTGAAGTGAGGGGCCCTGCCCAGGCCTTCAAGGTGGAAGAGGCAAGACCAGGCAGGGAGAGGGGGCATTACACCGGCTGGGCCTGCAGTGGATGGGGGAGCCATCGATTGCCATGTCTTGTGGTCGACTCTCTTCGTGTAAGAACAATCCAATCTCAGAGCCTCACCGCCGCCCACAGAGGTCAGCTGGGAGCTGGCTGTCAGCTCACTGCCCCCTCGAGCACTGCCAGCTCCCTGAGAAGCTCAGACCAGCCAGGCTGCCTCTCGGTGCGGGCCATCACCCAGCGAACGCTCTCAGCCTGACCTCCTGTGATTGAGGGCAGGAGCCACACGTGCTTAACTCTATCAGCACAGAGTCTTTGTACATTTAATGGATCACCCGAGAGCACATTTTGCACCACAGAGCCACAAATGTTTGCCGAGGGAATGGCTGGCTGCAGAGCATCCTTGTCAGGAGTGACCCCTTCCACTTGCAAGCTGTCCCCAGCCCAAGCAAATTCTGCCGCGTGCAAGGGACCCTGTTGTGTGAAGGTTGCCCTCCCGGCTCTAGTTACCAGCTGCCTTGCCCTGTGCCTCCTGCCTTGCACTTGCAGGGGGGACGGCGATGATCAAATGAGATAATATATGTGAGGGCTCCAGGAAATGGGGGAACTTATTCAATTTGAATCCAACCAACATTCAGTAGGGCCTCCTGAGGTCAAGGCACCATGCCAGGCCGCTGAGGGCTACAGATGATGTGAAGCTGGGATTGCTTCTGTGGAAATCGCGGAACGCAGGGGGCAAAAAAACTCATTAAGACTAATTGGAGAGGAGGGAACCCCAGGCACACGAAAAGAAATGATATCTGTTCACTTCCAAAGGGAAGCGGCTTGGTGAAATGCAAAGAACCAGCCCCTGGATGCTGAACACTTGCTGTTTAACTCTGGGCGAGTTTCGGAAGCCTTTTCCCCTCTATCTCCTCATTACTGACCCCACAAGGTCAGGAAGCTTTGTGAAGAGGCCCAGCAGCTAGTAGGAACTCAATGCTTCTCTCCTCACTCCAACACGTGCTCAGAACTGAGCATGGAGGGGCTCACCGGGCAGAGGGGGAGGAGGCTGCTCCCCCAGAACAGCTAGGACTCACTTGAAATTAGCAGCATTATTTATACACTACTCGCAATGTGATAAATACCTTTAACATGTTTGTTTTCAGAATCAGGTTAAACACAGACTCCTGTAATTTTGTTTACACTATTAATTCGTTCAGCCACCCATGTCTTCACGGGGAGAGCAGAGGTAAACTGGCGCTGAACTGTCACACAATTCAAATGAGTGGAGATGGAAGCCACTAACAGGTGGAGGGGTGGGGGAGGGCAGGGCCAGCCTGCACTAGGCTCGAGCTGGTGGGGGCTTAGCTCAGAGCCTCACCTAATACCTGGGGACCACTAAAAATGCTCTCCCTGACAGCAGGACTCCTAGCAACCACCCCCAAGGCTGCAGGAGGATGGACAGAACTCTAGGTATAATTGCTTCTAAATCCGCTGAGGAGCGGGTGGGTTGGGCTGTGGAGGAAAGAGCAGGGCTCAGCCCAGGCCCAGACGTAAGGTTGCTGGGGGAGGCAGAGTGGGGATTGTTTTCTATACTCAGAAGTTTCTTGAGGGCTTGAAGAGTGGGAAGATGAGAAAGCAAAAGTGTTGCCATTCTTCCTAGGTGTACAGAGAAACACACACCAAGGGGCCAGGCGCGGTGGCTCATACCTGTAATCCCAGCACTCTGGGAGGCCAAGGTGGGAGGATCACTTGAGCTCAGGAATTCGAGACCAGTCTGAGCAAGAGTGAGAGCCCATCTCTACTAAAAATAGCAAAATTAGCAGGGCATGATGGTGTGCCTGTAGTCCCAGCTACTTGGGAGGCTGAGGCAGGAGGATCGCTTGAGCCCAGGAGCTTAAGGTTGCAGTGAGCTATGATGATGCCACTGCACTCTACCCAGGGTGGCAGAGAGAGATTCTGTCTCAAAAAACAAAAACAAAAACCAAACCCACATACACCAAGGATGGAGACAGTTTATTAATTATTATAAAAAATATATCTATATCTACATGTGTATTTATATATACATATATATGCAGAAATAAGGGATCGGAGGCTTATAAACTTCAGTATTACTAGCATTTATATCCAGGTGGTAGCGTTAGGCTGAGTTCCCCTTTCTTCTTTACATTTCCTTTTACACCAAATGTGCATCCTGACCACAACAGGGCAAAAACGGTAAAGCTGTCCTCATTTGGAAATCAAGGCACCATCACCCACATCATCACCAGGACTGTGGCCAGAGACTAGGGCTCCTGCTCCGGGCTGTGGGGAGTGGAGCTGAAATTGCCCCTCTCTCAGAAACCAGGAAGAACCAAGCTGGGATGCCCCATCCCGTTCTCCTCCTCCACTGCCTGTGGCCATCACTCTGCAGGGCCCTGTATTAGACACAGGCCAGGAAGAGAGTCCAAAAGGGCCCCCTGCCTGCTTGGAGGGCATCATAAATGAGAGGGGAACACGGCAGCACCCTTTAAAATAGCAACATGTTAACACTCACAAATGAATGTGTACCTGCTGAGAAGCGGAGTGTGATGATAAGAGATTAATAGAGAGAGTGAGTAGCAGAATGGATGGTTGGGGAAGGGGCGTTAATAAAGGAAAAGCGTGTGGGCATTAACTGCTCCGAGGTAAGGCAGGCAGGTCGGGGCTCCTGGTGTAGGTGGCTTCAGGGACCAAGTGGGGGTGGCCTGCCTAGAGCGGCTGGTGAGTCAGAACACCTTGGTGGTCAGGACACCTTGGCGATGCAGTTCCCAGCTGACAGCACTCTCCCAACCCCAGTGAGTTCCTTCCTGCTCCTCCTGTCCCCAGCATGGAGGGGGCTCAAGGAAAGCTCTACAGGCCAGTTGGATGGAAGAGCTGTAGGGAGGAAGGAGGAAAGTGAGGCTCTGTCCCATTTTCCCCTTGTACCCCAGTTCATCTCTCACCTGTCTTATCAGTGTCCCTGACATCCTTGGCAGCATCCCAGGCCCTCCTGTTACCAGGTCTCAGGCCACCCTGTCCCTTCCTACTTCTGTCTTCATCCGCCACCGTGGCCTGGGCCATCCCTGTCCCCAGTGCCGGTCACCTGGGATTTCGAGGGGCATAGCTGGCCTCTTCAAGGTGCTGCTGGGGAGGCGGGCGATGCGGCTGCGGCCCCGGGAGACTGAGGAACTGAGGGAGGGAAGGAAGAAAGGAGGGAGGTTACCTCTGGGCCGTGGAGGTGTGTGCTGGGGATGGGGGCAGGCGCTAAACACTAAGCCTTGAGAGCAGGGGAGGTTGAACACCAATAGGAGCTTCTGGGGCCCCAATCTGAGGGAGGGAGAGGCGGTGGTGGGAGGAGAGGCTTGTGGGGTTCGGGACATGAGAGGGAAGGAGCGGTGTCGGGGTGGGTAGTCCAATCACTGGATTAACCAATGAATGCTGAATGTCTCCCTTGACGACAGGGGGCCTGTGATCCCCTTCAGCTCTAGGAGATCCTGGAATAGCAAGGGCCAAGGAAACCTCAGGCAGAAAACTAGGTCCTGGCCCTGCTCATAGACCTCGGCTGCTGCTCCAGGGGGTCCTGAGATACACTGGGGGCCTAGAGCTGGCCCAGGTGTTCGCCGCCCTGGTGAGAGCGCTTTGTCTCCGTGCACGCCTCACCTCACAACGCGCCTCTTCTTGCAGGCTGAGGTCCCAGGGAGGGAAGATGTCGGCTTGGGGCCCTTCATGGTGAACAGCACGGGTCCGCTGGGGAGGGAGGAAGGGGAAGGGAGGCGCATGGGCAGGGAACCAGAAATGGTGCCAGCCACTTCTTCCCTCTAGCCCTCAGCTGGGGTGGGGAGGGAATTGGGGGGGGGTGGACGAGATGACCTCTGAGGTTTCTTCCTACTACAAGGTGGAGTCCTCTCCCTGCCTCGCTTGGCCCAGGCTGACAGCTGAGTGACAGGCCTGCTCTGGGAGGATGTCCAGATGTCAGTTTCTGGCGCGTCCTGGGAACTGGAGTTCAAACAACTTCACCCTTCCACCTGCCCGGCTCTGAGCTTGTTACTGAGAGCTGGTTTGCGGGCTGTGGCAGGGCCAGGGGTGCAGGCGGGCAGCTGCTGGCCTCTGTCTCACAAGTCCAGGTCGGTCTACCACTCATTCTTAGCCTTGGACTGTCCTGAGCTGGCTGCTGTTCCCCTACCCTGCCACGTGGGTGGAAGGCAAGGGTGAGAGCTTCATCTTCTCACTGAAAAATCCTGAATAAAGTTTTCTGGGGACCCCCTCCCCCATTCCAAATGCTGGGCTGGAGGGCAAAATCTGGGGCTGGAAGTGGTGGAAGTAGGTGTTTCCCAGAGGAACACAGAACTCAGACCGGGCCAGAGGGCCCACACAAGGCAGAGGAGCAGATGGCATTGGCCTCCCCTCACTCACACATTCCTGCTCTCGCTCACTCTTCCCAAGTTGAGGTCCCATTAGCTACCCATGAGCGTGCCACAAGCCAGCACAGAGCTAGTAGCTTTGCAGCATGGACAGACGAGGCAAAGGCCCCCAAGAGACGCCCCGTCTCCCTGGCAACTCTACACCCTGCCCTCCTGGGCCCAGGGAGGGAAGCTGATGATGACCAAAGGGAAACAGGTGGCAAATGTCTGGCTCCTGAGTCAGGCTGTCTCCACTCTGCTTGGCAGCACCACTGTCCCTTGCTGGCCACTGACCCCCCCACTGGGACGGGTGGGAGGAAGGCAGGAGGGGAGACCCACCTGGGCAAGAAGGGCTGGTCCAGCCTGTTCAGCTCCTGGGGAACTTTCTCCCAGCCAGCGCCTTCATGGAAACTGAGCTTTGAGGGGGTCTCCTCAGAGAGATCAAAGGTGGCATTGAGATCCCGAGTGGGTGGGGCCAGCGGAGTGGAGCAGTTCTGCATGGCAGAAGGGCCGAGGGGCACCCGGCTTTTGATGACTGTGGCTGGGCAGACACGAGAGGAATGGCAGGGGGAGGAGGCCCTTCCCCCTTTGGGGGTGCTGTGCCCAAATGATGGCTGGGCTTCAGGCAGAGACTCTCTCCTCAGGCAGGGCAAGAAGGACCGGCGCTGGCGCTTGCTTCTCTGCTTTGGGGCAGGGGGACTGTCTGGCTCCGAGGGGCTTGGTCTCCTCCTCCTCTTCTTCTCCATTGGCCATCGGGATGCCTGCGATGGGGAGCACTCGGGCCCAGGTGGGATGCCCAGAGTGTGCATGGGGCCACTCAGTCGCCTTGCCATGGTCCGGGTCACGGGGCCAGAGTACGCTGGAGACTCTGGGCAGAGAGAAGGGGGTGCTGACAGGGATCAGGGATGGGTCAGAAGAAGGTGAGTTTGTAGAACTTGAGGAGCCAGACACTAGAGACATGAAGGACCCCCTAACTCCTCAGGTGTCGGGGGCCTCTCTGTGTACAGAAGTCCACGATCCCAGGGGGCCAGCCTCCTACCCCAGTATAACCCAGCAACTGAGGCCCCCGGCAGCACTCTGCCCCAGCTGGGCCTTGGAGATGGTAGCAATAGACAGGGTAGGACAGGGTGAGACTCACTTGACTCTGAACACAGCTCCTGAGCCAGAGGTGTCCCTCCGGCCAGCCCAGGACTCCTGGAGGCCTCCGCCCCAGGCTCAGTTTTTTCCTCTTGCACCAGCTGCTGCAGGGTCTCAAACTCTGTGATCATGTCAGGGGTCAGGAGGTTGGCTGCTTGGAGCAGGGAGTACTGCCGCTGGGCCAGGCACAGCATCTTCAGGGCCAACCTGGAACAGAGGGAAGGGGATCCCCACCGCTCCTGAGACCAGCCTGACCAGGATCCACTGTGCTGTGCATCTGTCCCCGTCACTCCAGGTGGTTGAGGAGCACAGCTAGGCTGGTACCCCGGCTCCCTCCTGCCTTGCCTGAGACTGGCTGGTCAGCCTCGCCACCCTCCCAGCCATGGCTTCTGTTCTGCCCTACCCTTGCTGAAGGCCAAGGATGGCCAAGATGGCCACAGGTAATGGTGGGAGGTGTCACCATTAAGCATGTCCCATGACAGTGACCTGGGAAGTAGTGAAAGGGAACTAAGTGGCCTTGGCCTGGGAAGGTCTGAGTTTCTGCTCAGCTCTGCCACTTACTAGTGCAGTGATCACAAGTTAATCTACCCTAGAGGCAATGTAAGGTAGCAGTTAAGAACCCAGCTCAAGTCAGACTGCCAGCTTCCTGCTCAAATCCTGGCTCCAACGTCTCTCAGTGACGTGATCTTGGTTGCACTGGTTAACCTCGGTCTCAACCTTAGAATGGGGATAAAAAACGCACCCACTTCACAGGGCTGTTGGAAACATTAAACGAGTTATTTTACATACAAAATGTTTAAAGGATACTTGGCACATAGTAAGGCCTATAAGTTTAGCTAACTATTACTTTCTGTAAAATAACACCATCTACCTTGTTAGGGTAAGAGGAAATTAAATAAGACAGGCTGTGTTCATCGTGGTTCTGAGAAGATCCTCAAAAGTGCATCCAGTCTGTGCCCCCTGCTAAATGTTTGGGATCCTGGAAAAGTATTTGTGAACCAATGCATATTTCACATGCACTGGGGGGCTATTTAAAGGAAATTATGAGGGTAATGTGATTATTGATGGTCTAAATTTAGATTCTAATAAAGCAAATTTTCTTTCTGTAAGGCACACCTATGATAAAAGAACAAACACAATTATCTCGGTGGGGATTATTTGTGGAAAATGATTTATCCTCAGGTAGCTCTACCTGCCTGGACATCTCTGAACCCCCTCTGCTGCCCTCAGTCAGTGTGTGCTCCGGGAACAAAAACTCATTTTTATAAAGCAGCCTCAAGGCCTTTTTGAAAGAAGGCAGGATGCAAATTAAAAAGGACACAGTAGACTCATTCTATACCTGCCTGAACCACACATTATAAGGAAGATTAGACTATGGAGAAGAGGGGGTGTTCGGGGGAAATGCATTGGCCCCATCCTTCCTGCCCTGGGTAAAGGCCTCAGTAACCCATCTGCCAGATAGGGAGTTGGTCTAAATCAGGGGTTTTCAAATTAGGTTTCAAAAATCCATCAGGCAGAGCAACTCTGTTTTGTCTGTTCTACACATTAGATTTCAGCACAAGATTTCATTTGAAGAAAGGACTTTGCAGTTAAAAAAAATTCTGGAAAAACCACTGAACTGGAAAATCTAAGATCTACTCATTGCCCTAGTGGTCCAAGATTCTAAATTCCAAAGCCAAAGGTAAATTATTTCTGATTATCTGGTAGTTAGGATGTTTCCAAATATGGAAACAATCTAGAATGTCCTACAACCCCTGATACTTGGGGTCTTCTGTCACATTTTATTAGTACTTCACCCTCAAGAAGTAGGGAGACTAAGGGCTATGATCCCTAAATCATAGCCAAGGTTGAAGCAACTTGTCAGAGACCACAAAACTGGAGCGAAGCAGAAATGAGGACCCTGGTGTCCTCTCTGCTCATGACAAGGGACACCAAGGAGAGAGAGCCTGAATCATCAGTGGAAGCCTGTGGTTGTTCCCTGGTAGCCGGGGGGACATCTACCAGTACGTCCCTGCCTCTCCAGGGCCCCGGGGAGTCAGCAGCAGGAGACAGATAATGAACCGCTGATTATTCAGGCTGCAGCATTTTTGCTGAGTCGGGAACAGACACTCCCCAACAAGAAATAAAATTAAACAGGCCCTTCTGTCCAGAAGCTTTAAATACACTGCCTAGCGTGAAGCGTGCTGGGGAGGGAACAGTGGGGTTGGCAGTAGCAAAGCCAAGTGGCAAGGGATTTATGTGCTGGGGGCCAAGGAAAAAATATAAGCAGTATCTCTCTATTAAGCATAGACAGAATGGTCCAAAATCCGTTTCTCATTGGCTTTGAGTGGTGGTCTGTATTTACTACTGAGAAAAAATAGCCACAGTCAATCTGTTGATGAAGATGCATGACAAACACTTGACTCAGGAAGGCTGTCCCTAATTTCAACTCCTCTTGGCTGTTCCCTCCTTGTTGAGGACAGGCCGCTTTGCCCTCAGACTGGAAAACAAAGCTCTAGCCCAAGCAACCCTGCCCTAACTCCATGCCTGCTGGCTGTCTGGATGGAATCTGGTGTTTCACGTCCCTCTCCTGCTGGGCTGCCGGCCGTGTGGAGGAATAAATAGAGATGATGATGATAAGTAAATAGAGTAGGTGATAATATCAAGGCGTTGAAAGCAGATAAGGGACAGTGTTGATGAAAAGAGACTAGACTCCAAATTGGACAGACCAGAGATTTTGAGATGCGTTTCACACCCACTCCCACCCCAGGAAGCTGACCCCATCGCTTCCCTCCTTGGACTCCATAGTAGAAGGAGAAGACACCTACTGCATAGGATGGTCCCTGTCCAGCTTCTGTGGTGAGCGGTGGCCCACGATGGGCTTGGGCTGCAAGGTCAGGCCATGGGGCCCTGGCAGTGGATGCCTGAGGCTCTGCTCTGGCATCTGGATTGGAACCTAAAGAGGAAAGAGGAGGCACAGCTGGAAGAGCCAGGGTGGCCACTCTGCCTCTACGAAAGCAACTCCTAAAATCTTTCCTTCCTCCAAGCATGGCAATGGTAGCTCCTGGAATGCCCAGGTCCTGGGAGAGGCTTTCATCCCCCCAGTCACTTCCAAACACACAAGGATCTGATAGAATATTTCTCCTTCCTGTGCAGGATCTGAAAGCCTCCCCCCTGCTTTCTTTTCTTTTTGAGACAGAGTCTCTATCTGTCACCCTGTCTAGAGTGCAGTGGTGTCATTGTAGCTCACTGCGACCTCAAACTCCTGGGCTCAAGCGATCCTCCTGCCTCAGCCTCCTGAGTAGCTGGGACTACAGGTGCGTGCCATGACACCGGGCTAATTTTTCTATTTTTAGTAGAGATGGGGTCTCGCTCTTATTCAGGCTGGACTTGAACTCCTGAGCTCAAGTGATCCTCTTGTCTCGGCCTCCCAGAGTGCTAGGATTACAGGTGTGAGCCACCATGCCTCCTAATGACTAAGGTGGAAGACATCCAGGTGGAGAGCCAGGAATGAGGGGCCCCCTCAGGGAGAGGTATTTCTCCACTATTTCACCAGCTCTAAGCCCTCCCAATGCCCAGGCCTCACGTCCTCAAGTCCTACCTCCTCTGCTGGGCTTTTGTCCTTGTCCTCTGAGGACTGCTCCTGGTCTGAAGAGTTCCCTTCCACGACCCTCTCTACCTGGGCCTCTGTCTCCAGGCTCTCCTCTTGAAGGGTTCCGGACCCCACGGGGAGCTCCGGGGTGCAGGGCTGGCTGGGAGGGCAGGGTGGTAAGGGAGAGCTGGGAAGGCTGAGGGGGGAAGCGAGAGTCTGAGCAGCAGGATATGGGGCAGGATCTCTGTGGCCCCCGGGTGATATAGACTCCATAAGGAACGGATGCTTGGGTGACAAATGGGCAGTAGCTGAGGGTGGGAGAAGGAGCCAGGGATTTTTCTGGTTTAAGAAACAATGATACCCAGCCTCTGAGTTCATCTGCTCTGGAATAGTAGATACTGCCTCTATGGGCTGTGGTGTCATTGGCTCCTTTGACATAGGGCATTCTAGGTGACAATTGGTTGCTGGGCACTGGTTGGGAACCCCTGACTCTAGGTGTTGGAGCAGAAGCTGGGGAAGGGGGGCTAGTTCTCCATCCTGGCCAAGCCAAATGGTGGGGGCAGGCATGGGCAGTAGAACTCACTGTTGTTGTGGTGGGCCCAACTTGGGGGACCCTAGGATGTCCTGATGTGGGGGCTGGGCTCCTGCCTCATACACCTGGAGCTTTTTCCTCAGAGCAGCTACCTGGAACAGAAGCAGCCCAGACCCTCAGAGCCCTGGCTGAGCACAGGAGCAGAGGGGTGGGCCTAGAGTCCTGGCTGCACCCCAAAGTTCCTGTCCCTCGCTTTTTGCCAAGCTTGCACTCCAGGTGGGCTCCTCACCTCAGCCTGGAGCTGCTGGCAGATGGTGGCATACTGGCTGATGTGACAGTCCAAGCTGATCACGTTGCTCTTCAGCTGAAAGGGGGCACAGGGGAGAGATTTGTTTGTTCATTCAAAGCAACTTTTATCAACCACCCCAACGGCTGGGCTCTGCACTGGGGGTCTCACATTACTGTGACGTGCCCTCGCAAGTGGGGAAACATGCCTGAGACCCCACTGCAAGAGGCAGACGGTTGCCTTTGAACCCAAAACCCTGACTCCCCAACCAAGACATCCTGGCCAGGCATAGGCATTTCCACAGCTGCCCCAGGAGAGCCAGGGAGGGGGAGGAAGCAGGGAGGGGGACGCCAAGCAGATGTGGCAGAAAACACGTGTCTCTTTTGCTGAAAATATGGTCCTACTGCTAAAAACAAGCCTGAATTGTTCTGCTGGCCAACACTCGGCTACCCACCTTGTTGCTCCCCTCAGTTTTGGTGACCATCCTGTCTCTCCCCAGCTGGAGTCTTCCCACCCAAGGATGGGGACTGTGTGGCTTCTATCACAGAAAATCTCCCAGGAGACAGAGCCTAGGGAACTTCTTTCCTCTGCCTTGGGGATCTGGGTCTGTCCCTTCCTGCTCCCGGGCTGCAGCTCCCTCCATGCCTAGGCTGGCCCTCCCTGGCTGGCACGCACCGAGAGCCTGATCTCCTTGGCCCGGTCGGCATACTTGAGGGTGTTGTACGTGTCCTCGTAGGCCAGGCTGGAGGGGCTGACGGCAGCGATCATCACCGTGCGGCAGTTGCCCCCAAGGGAGTCTTTGAGCAGGCGGGTCAGTTTGCTGTCCCGGTAGGGCACGTGAGTCTTCCGGCCCTGGGGGCAGCGAGCAGATGTGGGGTGAGGTAGCTGGACAAGGCTGACCCAGGCTGGGGCCTGGTGGCCTTTCGCCCAGGTTTTGGGTGCTCAGTTGCTGTCCTGGGCAGGACACTGGTCAGCGCTGCTTTACCTTTGCGTCGGCCAGGGCATTGAGGACGTTGATGAGGGCCAGCAGAGAGCGGTTGATGTTGGCGCCCTCCCGCAGCCGCTCTCCCTTTGTGCCGGTGCTGGACGCCCGCTCTGAGCCAGCCAGGTCAATCAGGCTCATCTTGGCCACCTGAACGGCCTGGGTCAGTCCTGGAACCCGGTCCTGCTGCTTCACAAAGATCTGGGGCAGGCAGCAGGGGTGAGGGGGAGCCAGGCCTTAGGAACCCTGGCTTCAGGCTCTGACCCATGACCCCTCTCACCTGGAAGATGGCATGGGAGCGGGAGGATGCGGCATTGGCATCAGTAGGGTGCTGTGTGCGGTTCCGATTCCCCCTGGTCAGCATCTCCAGTAGCTGTTCAGCTGAGGCTGGCTACAGAGGAGATGCCCAGGAAGGGGGCTGTGGTCTCCCCCACCAGGGCTTCTCCCCTGACAGGAAGGGCTGCTCTTCAGAACCAGTGTCACCCCGCCACCACCACAGGGTCCAGGGTGTCCCCGAATGGCCTGTGAGGGAACCCCAGAGGACCAAAGGGGCTGCTCATCCCACCTGAGCCCAGCCCCACACCTGGTGGAAAGAAAGTCCTTGCACCACCACCCCCTTGTCGGGGTCCTCACGGATGGCGAGGGGCCCCTTGGGCTCCAGGAGGTCGTGGATCTGCTCATTGTACACCTGCAGAGAAAAGAAGTGGGAAGGAGACCTCAGGGAGAGGACCCAGCAGGCCACCAGCGGAACTTTGAGGGACGATGTTAGTGATGCGAGCAGGGTGGACTGTTCTCTCACAGTCTCTCACGGGGCTGTATCTGCGGCCCTGGGCTCTCATCGGGGCCCAGGTCTCCATTTCCTGCCCAGTTCCCCACTCCCCCTCCCCACCTGCTCACTTTCCCCCTCAGGTTGTCAGAAGGAGGGGTGAGGCCACAGGGCCTGGGGAGGGAACAGCCGTACCTCCTGGTAGCTGATGAGCACCTCAAAGCGCTTCTCCTCCTGGAGGGCCTCAAGACGCCTATACAGCTCCACAGTGGTGAGGTACATGATGCCAGGGTCCCCCTCCCTTCCCAGCATGGTGTGTGTCTTCCCGGCCCCGGTGGCCCCATAGGCAAACACTGCAGAGGACAGAGTAGGGAGCAGGGTGGCAGCAGGGCCAGATCCGCTTCGCCAGGTTGGCCCCCAGTGCACTTCTGCCCAGCTCAGCCTTCCTTCCTCCTCGAGCCCCTTTCCTTTGCCTTCTGTGTCCACCCGTCTGCTGCTCCTACCACCCACATCCTGTGTTCCCACTGCAGCTCTGCGTTCTCCGTCTGTCCTGGCTCCCCGCAGGCCTGTGGGTTTGAGGGCCATGGGACCTCCATTATGCTGGGGCCAGCCCCTCCTTCTCCAGTCTGGTTAGCTTCCTCTGCTGAAGGCCTGGAATTCTTTCCCTCTTGTCACTTACCTGGTAACACACTTGTGACTTTGTGATTCGTGTCTGCTCCCCCTCTAGACTGGAAGCATCAAGAGGGAGGAACCACAGGGTCTGTCTGGCTTGCTACTGTATCCTAGGCCAGGCAGAATGAGTGAATGAGGGCGCCACAGAGAATGAAAGGGCCAGAGCTCTCCTCAAGTTGTGCCCAGCTGGGGGGAGGTGGGCACGTGTCAGAAGACACACGAAACCCTCCCCTTAGAAGGAGGCAGGAGGCAAGGCCACTACCAGGCAGGGTGCAGGTTCTCACCTGAGCAGTTGTAACCCTGGAGGAAGCCGTCCAGGATGCCGTGGGTGGTGTGCTGGAACACATCCTGTTGGGTGGCTGCCTCTCCAAAGACCCGGTCAAAGACAAACGTCAGGTCTTTGCCCTTCCTTTTGGGGCCATCTTGGATGCTGCCCCATTTCAGGCCAGGGAACCCTCCATCGGGCTCCTCAGGGTTAAACACCAGCACCCGCTCGTCCACCACCTGAACCACAGGCCGACGTTGACTGTCCAGCTCCCGAGGGGTGGGGGGCCGTACCCGCACCACCACCCGCACCATGCTGTCCTCCACTGCCATCACCATGGCAACACCTGGGCAGAGACATGATGGAGATGAGGACCAATCTGACCCCAGGCCTGACCAAGTGCCCCTTCAGCATTCAAGGGTCACCTCTGCCCCTTTCCCAAGGTCTGGTCTCCATTTTATACCTCAAGACAGTAAGAATGTTGGTGCCAGCACCAGTTACTAATAAATATTTCTTTCTCACCTGAAATACTTCTGTCATATTCAGATGTCTATATTTTCAGACGTCTATTACTATGCCTTCTATCATGTTCCTCTGATGTATTCGTCTATTTTTGTGCCAATACCACCCTGTTTCCACTGTAGCACTTTACAGCATGCTTTATAGCTAGTAAAGCAAGAACCACGTCACTCATCTTTCTTTCTCATAACTTTCTTGGTTATTTTCAGGTACTTATTATGTTATTTGACTTTAAGAACATTTTATTAATATCAATTCTACCCCCAACCCAGCAGCCCCATCTCCCCTCAAAAAAACCCTAGCGGGATTACAATTGGACTTGCATCGAATTTACACATTTATTTTATTATATTAAACCTTTTCAGGCAAGACTATGGCTATTGCCTTTCTATTTGTTTGGATATTTTTTATGTCCCTCAAGATTTTACAGTTTTCTCTCTTTTCAGTTTGGTTCTGTGATTGTTCTTTTAATATAATTGCCAGGTATTTTATGGATTTAATTGCTCTTATGAATGGAACATCTTCCGTCATTTCCATTTCCAGCTGGTAATTGCTAGTATGGAGAAACGTAATTGATTTTTATATATTTGTCCTATATCCACCACTCTCAAACTTTCTTATTAATTCCAGTTGTTTTTATTAGGGCTTATTGGGTTGTCTAAGTATACAATTACGTATCAGAAGAAAAAAAAATTAGCTTATCTTTTTCACACTTACACCAAATATTTCATTTCTTATCTATTGCAGCCTCTAGAACTTCTAAAACAATGTTGAATAGTAACGATGATAATGGGCATCCCTGTGCTGCTCCTGATCTTAAAGGAAATGGCTTTAGTGCTTCAGTATTTAGAAATTAGTTTTGGACAAATAGTCTTTATCATATTAGTAATTTCTATTCTTATTTTAGTCATAGTTGTTATTAGGAAAATGTAGAATTTTATCTAATGCTTTTCCAGTATCTCCAGATATGTTTATGGGTTTTTTCCCTCCCTTATTTTGTTGATGTGGCAAGTTATTTGATATTATTCCTGGTATCAAACCAACCATGCATTCCTGGAAAAAAATCCTACCCTGGCCATAATGAAGTTTTCAACATTTAAATGGTCAAACATGACTGGGCACAGTGGCTCATGCCTATAATTCTAGCACTCTGGGAGGCCAAGGCGGGAGGATTGCTTGAGCTCAGGAGTTCAAGACCAGCCTGAGCAAGAGTGAGACCCCATCTCTACAGAAAAATTAGCATCACTTGAGCCCAGGAGTTTGAGGTTACAGTGAGCTATGATGACACCATTGCACTCTAGCCTCGGCGACAGAGTGAGACTCCATCTTCCCCACAAAGTAATAAACATTTTCTTTCTTTTTTTTTTTTTTTGAGAGAGAGTCTCACTGTGTTGCCCGGGCTAGAGTGCCATGGCGTCAGCCTAGCTCGCAGCAACCTCAAACTCCTGGGCTCAAGCAATCCTCCTGCCTCAGCCTTCCGAGTAGCTGGGACTACAGGCATGAGCCACCATGCCCAGCTAATTTTTTCTATGTATTTTTAGTTGTCCAATTAATTTCTTTCTATTTTTAGTTGAGACAGGGTCTTGCTCTTGGTCAGGCTGGTCTCAAACTCCTCACCAAGTGATCCTCCCGCCTCAGCCTCCCGTACTGCTAGAATTACAGGCGTGAGCCACCACACCCAGCCTGAAATGCCAAATTGAACCTAACTAAATTCTCATAGAAACATGAATTTGTTTTTGGACTTTCCATTTTGTTTCATGGATACGTCCATTCCATTTCCAGTACCTCACCGTTGTAGATACTGTGGTTCTATAATATATCCTCTCATTGCTCCTTTTCTTGGCTATTCTTTGGCATCTTGTCTTGCATGTGATTTTAGAATCAGTTGATAAAGTTCTATGAAAATCCTGCTGAGATTTTAATTTGGATTATTTCGAATTTATAGATTAATGAGGAGAATTAGCATCTTTACAATATCAAGTCTTCCCATCTAGGAACTGGTACCTCTTCCCATTTATTCACAACTTTATAATCTTCAGTAAAATTTTATAATTTTTCCCACATGGGTATTATATATTTCTTAATAGGTTTATTACTAGTTATTATATAGCCTTTGTTATATTGTGAATAGGCTCCTTTTAAAATTACATTTTAAAATTCATTTTTGCCAGAATATATGAATGCTACTTATTTATATATGCGGATCTTGTATCTGGTCACACTGCTGAACTCCCTTATGGTTCTAATAGATTGTCATTGATTCTTTTAGGTCTTTCAATTAAATGGCAATATAGTTTGCAAATAATGACAGTTACTTCTATTTTTAACTCTTCTATATTTAGTTCACCACCTCTGCTGCCCATTAGGAATGTAGGAATGGCTGCTGAATTTTATCAAATGCTTTTTGGCACTTGCTGAAATGATCACAACAATATTTCTCCTTTATTCTGTTAATAGAGAGGGTGACACAACAGATTTCCTAATGTTAACCAGGTAATAATTCCAAACATTTTTTAAAAATTTTTTTTGGAGACGTGGTCTTGCATATTGCCCAGTTTGGCCTTGAACTTCTGGGCTTGAGCAATCCTCCCGCCTCAGCCTCCCAAGTAGCTGGGACTAAAGGTGGGAGCCACTGTGCCCAGCCCAAACACTTATTTACCCATTCTGTCTTGTATTTCTCCCAGACTTCTCTCCCTGGTTTTTTATTTCTCTTTTGAGCCAGCTTACTGAGGATAGGGATGGAATTTTTGGAATTCAGGAGTCACAGATATTCTGGAAAAGTTCAACCTAACTTTAAGTATATATTAACAGGGATAAGGAAAGGGGCTTTTCCTGGGGGATATGAATAGATGAATGTTTTCCCAGTAAAGACTAAGTCCCACTGATGGGTCACAATTACCAAGGTCATTAAGCAAAGAAAAGTGAGGTTTCTACCTAATACTCCAGAAAACAGCTCAGGTTTTCCTTGGGGAATGAGGCAGAATAGAGCTAAATTGAAACTCCTATCCCCTCACCCCTAAACTTCTTCTCTTCTTCACCATGCAAAACAAGAAAAATATGTAAACCAATGATAATCCTTTTACATGTGTATAATTCTATTCCCATCCCAGCAATCGGATTGCCATAATAAACATGTTAGCTACGTGCTCACTATGTCAGAAACCTTTCAAAGCACCTTACGTATATCACCTCCTTTTATCCCCATTGCAATCCCACAAGATAGATACTATTATTATACTCATTTTTCAATGGGAAATTGAGACAGAGAGGGTTAAGCAATTTGCCCAAGGTCCCAAAGCTAGTGAGTGATGGAGCTCCATTCCAACCAAGGCAGTCTAACTGCAGAGCCTGCTATACTGCTTTATGATATTATATATTATGCTATGATGATCACATTGTTGTAATAGTCCCTTATGTTTGTGTAATAATTATAATCACTTTTACAGAATTAGCATTATGTATTCTGCAAACACTTTCAGATATATGGACTGTACCTAATTTTCAACAGAGAGAGTTCCTATCTCCCACCCTTGCATTCCCACTCCCGGGAAACCCCACTTTTGTAGCTGGGGAAGTGAAGGCAGAGGGTGCCTGGGTGTGCATGGGCCACCTTCCTGGCAGTCCCAGCTCCCCATGGGGAGGGCACCAGCTGAGGAGCCACAGAACAGCCTAACAATCTAAGCAGGAAATTAAAAAGGGCACTGGTGAAGGAGTGCGCGTAACCTTTACAGTTCTCTCCTCCCCGCCTCCTGAGGGCAGTGAGGCTGAGTCTGCTTGCCTAATGAGATGTTTTCCTTCTTTCTGAGCCAGCACTGGTGGCACAGGTGCAGGATTCGGGTGACACTTGGCATGGCCGCTGCTAGGATGCCTGGGTCCTGGCCCCTGTTCTGCATCTGACTGAAAGGAAGGTCTTTTCGCCAGCCACACCATGTGGATGTCGCGTCAGCTTCCCCCTTTGAGAGCCAGAGAAAAACAGCTACATTTCTGCTCCCGCCCCAGAGGGATGGGGAGATTAATGAGAGAACGTTTGTCAAGTTTGCTTTGATCCTTGGTTGGAAAGAGCATTTCAGCCCAAAGTACAAGGGAGATGATTCTTTAATAAGATCTTCGGGATTTTCAGCCAGCCACAGTCACGTCCTGTTTCTAACCTAGGGCAGCTCATTAAAACCCAGAGGCTAGTGCTCTGCTGAGTTGGGCCTGAGAAGCCAAGATTCAGTTGTTTTGGGGATGGCCTTCTTTGCCCACCCTCGTAGGAACAGGCCCAACAAACCCGAGCTCTTCAGAAGCCCCTGGAGAAGAATTTCAGAGACTTGAGGGGATTCCCCCTGCAGACACTGGCAGCTGGGAAAGGTGGGGGAAAAAGCCCAGCCCTCCGATGTCCTACTTTTATAGGGGTAGCCGTTATAGAGGTCGCTGTAGTCTCCTTCATCCCTCCCTCACAACCCTCAAACACTTGTTTTTTGTCCTTAAGCTCCAAGAGAGCAGGACCCTCTTCTGACATAGTCTGTGCACCCTAGGTGCCTGGGCACCCGGCCCAGCAAGCAGCAGACGCTGAATTTGTCCTGTGAATGCATAAAGGCCAGGAAAGAGCAGAGTCTAAATCCAAAAGTCTAAAAATAATTATTATTATAGCTAACATTTACTGAGTGCTTACTATGTATCACACATTATGTTAAGTGCTTTACAAACGGTGTTAAACTTTCACAAGAATTGTTACATCCCTACTCTACAAGGGAAACAGGAGGCACATGATCTTGTCTCCCAGATGGTAAGTAGCAAGGCCAGAACTTGACCTTGTGTCACCAGAGGCACT